CTCAGTGGTTCGATAGCAAAGCAAGAGAAGTAAATATAAGAAGAAATAACAATCAGCAGGATGCAATGTGACAAGGAGGCCAGACAACCAACGGAAACAAGGTAGTGTTCAAGTTAAATGAATTAATATAGAGCTGTGTCAGCAGAAATATGACAAATCAAATAAATGAACAAGTAAAATAAAAGGTGGAAGGGAAACAATAAAAATACAGTAAAACCATGACATCACATGAAGCCAGTCAATAGAGTGATTTAAAAGACGTCATTGTCTCTGCGAGCCTCATCTCCTCAGGTAGCTGTTCCAAAGCCGAGGGGCACTAATGGCAAAAGCACAGTCACCGTTAGTTTTCAACCTCGACTTTGGAACAGTCTGCAGGGCTCCAGCTGAGGATCGAAGGCTGTGTGCAGGCAACAAAGAATGTCATAACATGAATGCAGTCTATCAACAACCAAACCATAAACTCATGGTACCCCATGAGAAAAGTGGTTCAGGACTTTGTTTACCCTCAATAGTACTGCGAAAACTACTGTCCTGACAGTTGTTGAAATAATAAGTCTAACCTTGGTGGAATCACAGATGGCGTTTCTTTGTGTGAGCAAGTGGATAACCCAGATTCTCACTCCCACCCACTGAACTTGTCTACTCCTTTATTATTCATTTAGAGCTTAATTTCCAAATAGAAAAATCAGATGCTTGTACAGGTCTACAAGAATCCTGTTTTTGGTTGTAGCAAAATTTAAAATACCTGAAAAAGTATCTTGTCCTCACAACGAGCTGTTCACATGATATTTTGTGTTTTATCTGTCTTTTTTTCTAGGCATCCAAAAAACAAAGTGTCGCCGACAGTTCCAAACAGGTTGAGAGGAGGCAGGAGAGGTCAGAGGTTTTAACAACAATGTCAGTAATGACAAACAATATACTAACTATCATCAGTATCATTCATCTTTCAATTTATATGATTATCACTGACTGTGATATTACCTGTCTTCTTCTACATGTAGCTGTGCAGCAAAACAGGAAAAGTTTTATTCTCCTTCAACTAAAGATGATTCTCAAAGCACCCGCCGGATCAAAACGCCGGTCTACAGACTCACAAAAACACAGGCAACAGACCAGAAACCTGTTAATAAGGGAGAAGAATGTACAAAAACAAAAAGTGTCTCTTTGCCATTCCATGGGGGAAATTGCTCTGGTGAAACAAAGAATTATATTTCAGGGAAACATAGAACTGTTAGTGGGAGTAAGACTATGGAAAGAGGACCCTCAAAGCCCTCGAGTTCTGACACTTCAGGTAGAGTATCTCAGAAAACAGAGCGGATCTCTAAAGGCAGCTTAACTGAAACGTCTTCCCGGAGGAGCCCATCAAATTTACAGACGCGAACGTGTCCTGGTTTCGTTTCTGCTGAGCAGAAAGAACAGAGGCACAAAGTAGAGAAGAAAAGATGCAGAACTGAGGAACCACCAAGGACTAGAAGGGAGAGCAACAGTATGAAGACCAAGGAACCAAGCAGGACGTCCTCTGTCTTCACAGATTCTTTACTGGAGAAGAGAAAGGAGCTGACCAAAAAGATGTGCCAACGGCATCAAGAGACTGAGTCAAAGGCCAAAAGGAGCCGGTGTACAGACGCTAAACCTCCATCTGCCTCCACCACAAACCGGTCCTCCTCAGCAAAGCACACTACCTCAGAGAGAAGCTCAAAGCTGGTGAAGAGTGTCACTTCAATCCAGAGTAGAGTCACACCATCGTCACATAAGACAGCTAGGTCATCATCTGCTCTGCATCAAAAAGATTCTCTCACACCATCTCTGCCTCCCAATTTTAAGATACCAAAGAAGGTTCAACCAAGACCAGTGGATTGTAAAGACAACAACAGTGATGCCATTCCTGCTAAAAGAAATCTCAAACATGGGACTGAGCTTTCAGACTCTGGGGCCAAAGTAACAAACTCCAAGCAGGAAACAGTTCAACAACTTCAGAGCTTTTTCAATGTAACTCAGAGTCTTTCATCTGAAGGACAAGATAAGAGGTCTTCCTTGTCTGACCCAATCCAAACTGTATGCGATGCCACCCAAGAGCCATGGTACGACCAGGTAATGAAAAAATAAACATTTACTCTGACAACAGGATAAATGGCTTCAGTATGTTGTCACAATGGCAGAGAGTATGTTCATATTTACTTTTATAAATGTTGTGTTCTGTAGATGCAGGTGGTTGATGAGCTTCATCTTGCCCGTAATGAGAAGAAATTGGAGGTGAATGTAATGCAGAGCTATGGAGAACTGACCTGTATGGACATAGATCCTCAAGAAGAGCAAGCTACAGATCAATACTGTAAGTTCTTTATGGTATATGTATTTATATATGTTCCAGTGTGTATATTTATACACACACATAAAGGACACATTCCTTTCCTTTGGTTTGTTCCTGCTGCAGAATGAATGCTTTACTCATAGGGATGCACTTCAGATATAATCATGAGCAGTTTATTTTATTCAGGTGTTGACATTTGACATTCAACAACAAAGAATTGAATTAACTTGAACTTTGTGTATTATTACAGGTAAACAATCCCCCCCACAAAACCTTATCCTGGTTCTGGACACCAACATTCTCCTCAGTCACCTGGATTATGTGAAAAAGATCCAATCTCTTGGCCTTGGAGGTGTTCAAGATTATTTTTGTCATCAATATTTCTTAAGTGGTTTCCAGCTGTATTTAACTAGTAATGTTAAAAGGGATATTATAATTAAATAAACATATTGCCAAACAAGTATCAAATCCCATGTTTACATTTTGTGAATATATATCCTCAACTATAATAAAAAAATGTATTTAACGTGGAACCATCACCACTTGCTCTCTCTCCTTCTCGTGCTCTGTTAGCCCTGGGCTTCCCTGTTGTCCTGATCCCCTGGGTGGTGCTTCAGGAGTTGGATTCCTTAAAAAGAGGGAAAGGCCTGTCAGGTTCTGTGGCACACCTGGCTACTCCTGCCATATCGTACATTTACAACACTCTGAAGGGCCGGGAATCGAACCTCTGGGGCCAATCGATGCAGCAGGCCGCTGAGAGCAGCAGTAAGTGTGGATTTCAGGAAATTCATGGTATTTTCAGTGCTTTGAATATTTAGGTCTGTCCATGAGCTTGTATCAGATTTCTACTGAGAACTGTTGGGACATGATGACTGATAAAAATCACTCTTGTTTACAAAATAAGTAATTACAGCCATTTGATGCTAAACAGAAAACACAGATTGAGGGTCTGCTTTTTTTTATAGTTCTGCCATTTTCCCATTGTATTTGTTTACATTTTTTACAAGTTGATATATGGTCTAATTTTGACCCTTCTCTAGTTTAAAGTACAGTGTATGTGGTGTGAGAGATTATGGTCATGCAGTCATTTCTTTATTAAACAGAAGGTGGCACTTGCACTAAGCTGGTCCTCCAGGATTTAACATCATAGCATACAGTGTGTGGTTGAACCCAAGCGTAAGGTAACCCACTTCTTAGCTGTATGTAAAATTGATCAAACATTAATTTTTCAACATTGGCAGTATAATGTCTTCAGGAAGGACTGGGTAAAAAGCTAAGTGTTTAGGGGCATACAAGCCATTTAGTGAATCAATTGACATAGATCTGAAGTCTCTGTCTTGTGTTGCTCAATTGTGAATCTTCCTTATTGTCTTTAAAAGAAAAAAAGACATGCTGTGCTTTTTTGTACAAAGTGATAATGCACTCATCCATGTGCTTTCAGTATCGTGAATTAAACATGTCTCTCTGTCTTTATATGGAATGTTTTTCTTTTGTCTCACCCTGTTACTTCCTCGTTGGCTGCGTGACACCTTGTCCCCAGATGGCCTGAATGCTGAGAATAATGATGACAGAGTTCTGCAGTGCTGCCTGCAATACCAGAGTCTGTACCCAGGGCGTGCTCTCATCCTATGCTCGTGAGTATCCCCCTCCCCCCCTGCTGTGTAGTACTGCTGCTGCAGAGTGTGTGTCCTCTGCAAATAATGCACATGCATGTGACAGTGAGTGGGTCCAGCCAGATAGTTCCAGTTGGGATGAGAGAAAGATAAAGCCAGACACAGTAATTGGGCAAGAATAGATGTGCTGAGCAAGGAATTGTTAGTTGAGGTCGGGAATCCTTTTAACTCAATGGAAATGGCTGTGGGATTGTTTCACATGATTTCTCCTTTTGGTCTATTTCTCTGTCTGCTGCTATGCCCAACACTGTTATTGTTAATATCACTGAAATAAATGAGAAAGGAATGAGCAGACATCGGACATTTAGCTGAGATTAGAAGTTTCTTAATGAATGCTACACGACACTCTCGCTCTTTCCCCTCTAGTAATGATAAGAACCTGTGCAGTAAAGCCCTCCTGAGCGGGGTGAAGGCCCTCAGCAAGAATGATTTGGAGGCAGAGGTTGGGAGATCGAGACAAAGCCCTCATCCTCTCCTAAACATTCAGGCTCCCATGGTGCCTCAAACAAGACCTGAGATCTCATCACCACCCCTGAGCAGGAGTCACACGCCAGCCCAGCCTCATACTCAAGAGAGAACAGGCCTTTCTGTGGCACCCGTAATGAAATGTGAGCCGTGGATTAATGTGTTCTTCATGCAAAACAGGAAATTACCTGGCTTACTCCATCATAGTGCAGTAGTTAATAGCACATACCATCCATGCACATGCCACCCACCTCTTTCTGTTTTACTGCTCTCTTTCCTTCAGTCAATCTGTACTAACTGTAAAATTCAGGTGACAGCATCAGCTACATCAAACAAATCTGTTTTGATAAGCATAAAATAAAAGCAGAAATAAAATGCCATTTTCACCTACGCACTCTCAGTTAGTATTAAGCTTAACAGTATGTTTTTGATGTACAGCAACTTGCATGTAAAGGATAGCAGTTGCCATATATTGCGTTGTTTCCATACTGACAAAGTGTGGATATATTTGACTGATCACAGATAAACAGCAGCTCAGTGGAGGAGAAGAAGCGAAGGCAAAATGGGACCTTAGTGGATGTCTTTCTGAGCTAGAAGATAGCCTGCGGGAAGTGCTGTCACATGTGTTGGAGGTGGAGATGAAGGCGGCTTATGAAGACCTCTGGTTAGAGGTAAAACCTTTGGTTTCATAATTTCACATTATCCTTGAGAGGATATTTAAATAAATGTCTCAAAATCAGACAACAGAAGGGGGAAAATAAAATTAAAAGACAGAATGGAT